AAGCCCTCTGGTTGCGAGATAAAGACCTCCTCATGTAGATCTCCATTCAGAAAAGCTGTGGTGACGTCCATCTGCTCGACTTCCAAGTTTTCTTGAGCAGCAATGTTCAGCAACATCCTGATCGATGCATGTTTCACCACTGGTGAAAATGTTTCTGCAAAGTCCACTCCTTCTACTTGAGAAAATCCTCGAGCTACAAATCTGGCCTTGTAACGATCAATAGAGCCATCTGGCTTATACTTGATCCGGAACAGCCACTTTGTACTCACGATTCTTCTGCCTGTAGGAAGCTCCACCAAGTCCCACGTTTCATTTTCCATCAGAGATTGATACTCTAGGAAAATTGCATGCTGCCACTCTGCTGCATTTGGACCAGCCAAGGCTTCTTGCAAGGTCTTGGGTACTGTGGCTTCTGCTTGGTGAAAGAGTGCTAGAAAGTCGAGTTCCATGTCCTCAGAAGGAACTTCCTCCTGCTGCTGGGACGGTGAGCTTGCAGCATAATAAAATGCTGCTGAGGTTACTGGAGGTGGCTCAGATGCACTGCGATCACGAGCTGCTCTGGCTTCAACTCTAGAAGCCTCAAGAGCCTGCTTTAATGCCACATCCTCTCTGTACTGCTGTCCTTGTTCAGTCAAGACACGAACACGACTGGATCTACGAGGTGCTGCTGCTTCCTGCTGCTGGCTGCTTTCCTGCTGCTGGCTGCTCTCACTAGAGCTGCCTTCCTCGAAATTGAGAGAAGGTGAGAGATCTGAGACACTCCTTGGAAGAGTTCGGCCTGCCCTGGGAGGAACTTGAGCCACGACTCCACCTCCACCTGTAGCTGCTCCGCCTGAGTGTGCACGCTGCCGTCGAGAGGCATCTTCCTCCTCGCTGTCGCTATCCTCAATTAGGGTTTGCTCACCACTAATGAGTAACGGCATCTGCTGCGAGGTGGTTGCTAGCTGGTTCTTGGTGTTGTACATCTTAGACTCGTCGAAGATGACATTCCTGCTCGTGATCACCTTCCTGGTGTTCAGGTTGAAGAGCTTGTAACCCTTCATCTTGCTGGCATAGCCAAGGAGAATGCACTTCTCACTTCTACTGTCCAGCTTCTTGGGCTCGTCCTTGAGTGCATAAGCTACACACCCAAAGATCCTGAGATGGCTCACGTCTGGTGCCTTCCCATACCACACCTCATAAGGTGTTCGTCCCTTGACAGCAGAAGTAATCAGCCTATTCCTCAAGTAGGCTGCTGTCTTCACAGCATCACACCAAAAGAAATTTGGCATGCCTGTCTTGCAAGATCGCTCGTGCCATCTCCACAAGAGTTCGGTTCATCCTCTCAGCCACGCCATTTTGCTCAGGAGTTGAAGGCACTGAAAGTTGCCGCTTAATTCCAGCTTGCTCACAGAACTCCTTAAAGGCGTTAGAGGTGAACTCTCCACCACCATCACTTCTCAGCATCTTGATTTTTCTGCTTGTCTCAAGCTCCGCTTGCAGCTTGTAGACCTTGAAAGCTTCAAAGGCCTCTGACTTGTGCAGCAAAAACTTCACTGCTACCATCCTTGAAAAATCGTCGATGAATGTGACAAAGTATTTCTTCTTTGTCCTTGACATGGTCTGCATTGGGCCACATAGATCAGAGTGTACCAGCTCCAGGACATCCTTCCCTCTTTCACTTACACCTGAGCGAAATGGAAGGCGATGCTGCTTACTGAGGACACAAGGCTCACAAAATCCAGCTGATGATGGAGCAATGTTCAGTCCTCGGACAAGTTGTCCTCTTGCTAGCTGCTGTACTCTCTTGATGGAAGAGTGGCCTAATCTTCTGTGCCAAGTGTCTAGTGTAGCTGGTTTGTCTTCCACGCTGCTACTGAGCATTAACCTCTCAGGATACACCACTTCAGCATTCAGGCATGTCGGCGTCCCGATGCTAGCTCATAGCCTTCTCGTGAGATGGTGCACCTTTTCTCGTTAAAGTCAATCTTGCAGCTTGCGTCTGCTATCTTCCCCACTGAGAAAAGAGTCTTCTTGACACCAGGCACATAGTAGACATTGCTCACGTCCACTTTCTGACCATTGGCAAGTTTCACCTTGATTGTCCCAACTCCTTGCACACTGTGCGAGTAATCGTCACCAAGGTAAATCCTCTTGTCGTCTGGAACTGGTCTCAGCTTGCCAAACAGCTCTCTGATGTATGTCATGTGCCTGTTTGCTCCTGAGTCCACCCAGATTACTTCTGCTTTCAACAGACCATGTTTTGTCACCTGCTGATCCTCTAACGAAGCCATGAACAGACTGCCATGCTCGTCATCTGAATCAGCTGCTGCAAAGTTAGCCACTTGCTTGCCTTTGTCTCGCTTTCTAGCTTCCTTGGCTTTCTTTGCTTCTTCATTGGTGCAGTCTCTTGCCCAATGACCAGGTTTCTTGCAAATGTTGCAAAGGCCGTCGTTTTTCTTCTTCTTCTTCTTGGACTTGCTCCCACTGGTTCCATCAGTCCCTGGAGAATTCACTGGGCCCAACCTGTCCCACACTGTTGCAGATCGCTTGCCCTTTGAAGATTGACCAGCAAATAGCGCTTGATCTTGAGATCCAACTCCCTCATTGGTCTCCATCAAGTTCTCTGCTGACTTCAACTGAAGGACCATTTCGTCAAATTTCTTTGACGAGTGAGTAGTCGCTGTTGTCAGAAGATACTTCGCCACGCCTTTGATGACAACCGACTTGAGCTTCGGTTCACTCACTGGTGTCTTCGTGATGCGTGCGATCTGGCTTGCTACCTTCCTCAACCTTCCAACAAAGGCTTGAATGGACTCACCTTCATGCTGTCTTACAGAACCGAGTTCTGTCTCTAAGTCCAGCAATGTGGTCTCATTCTCCTTTCCGAGGGTTGCTTTCAGGTTTTCCCAGTTCTCGTGCGCAGTCTTCGTGATGTCGAGATGGCAACTGAACACCTTGGCCTCTGCCTAGAATGCCCAAGGCCTTGATGTTCTTTCCATCCCACTCTTTGCGGTCAGCCTTGTCCGTTGTGGGAGGGCGCGTCCAGGAACCGTCGACCACTGGCCACAGCTCCTTCTACTCGAGTTGCTCCTGCCATCCGCTGAAATCCTTGCCATCAAAGATCTCTATGGCGTCGCGCACACTCCCCATCTTCAGGATCGTTCTTCACACGCGCTCTGATACCATGTTATGAAATGGGGACACCCAGCCTTGTGAGCGCAGCAGCGCTCCATGCTGGGTCCACCTTTATTGCGGAAGACGGATCAAGAACAGAATGTGTCAGGCGTGATCACCTACAGAACCTAAACGGATGTGTCCCTTCTGCTGACGTGGCATCCCAGCTTGAGATTGCGGCTTAAGTCCTCAACAGTTCTTGCTAGCAGCATCCTGTCACCGGCGTATAGCAGGAGGTAGAGTAGCATGCTAGCGAGTTGGATGGTTGAAAGCTCTTCATCGCTATCCTCCATCAGCTTTTCCAAACCATCCATGAATATGCCAAAAAAAAAGTGTGGGTGAACTTCAGTGTGACATGAGATTTGCGCTTGGCCTTGGACGTCGGCTTTGACATTCGTATAGAGCTGTTGTATGACTTTGATCAGCGTGCAGGGGGACTGAAGCTCGACGAGGTGTTGGAAGAGCTTTGTTCGTAGCACCATGTCGAAGGCTTTGGTGATGTCGACAAAGCAACTGTACACCGCTCCATTTCTCCAACTTCAGCCTGTCCATCATGATCCGGAGAGTCACGAAGTGGTTGATACAGGAAAAGTGTGGGCGAAATCCTGCATGGCCTGCCTTCTTGCTCCACTGGACGAGGTGTTTCTCCATGAGCCGTGCAAAGAGCTTAGTGAAGATTGTTGACACCATGGTCGTTCCGTAGTTTCCAGGCTGTGTTGGATCCCCTTGTTTGTAGATCGGGATGTCATGATTCACATTCCAGCTCGTTGGGAAGCCATCATGGATGATGTTGTTGAAGATTGAAACTTCAACCGGGAACAAGCCCAACAAGTCTGACACAACCCACACCAAGCATACAAAATCTTCAAGAAGAAGAAAGTGCCAGTCCTTGTTGACAAAGTAGAGATCTAGATCCAACACATTCAACAAACTTAGGAATCTGCCAGCAGAGGAATGTGACATCCCACTAGCCTACTACAGACAAATCAAAGAAGTGATCAACACCTGCAAGGACCCTCATGAGGCATTGCATATTCAGCGTTTGGAGGAGTTTCGCTGTGAAGCCTTTTTGCTGCGGCAGATGGTTGATTGCTTCTTTGATTTGTTCCTAAGTAGAAGGTCAGTGGGATGTCATATTGGATCTCCTCTACTGGCATATTAGTTCGTACAGTTGTTGAATGCAAATCTCTACTTCATCAATGAGGACTGGTGCTCTTTTCTTTTCAAAAATTTTATATGCATGATGTGGGTCGTGTCAAACTTGCCAAGCTTGTTCCTGGTTGAAATTTCGATCATGCTAGTGTCAGGGTGCTCTTGCCACCTTTTGGAATTGTGGGTGGGGGTGGTCAGCGTCTGGGTGGCAGTCTCGTTTTGCTCTTTTGTATGCTTTGTGGAGTTTTGTACAGTGCATTTCTTGACTGGCAATCCCTTCGTCTGCCAGTCAGGTTTGAGATATAGGTCCTCGTCCTGGTGTTGTTTGATGGCTGCACTATGCCTCCATGTCCTAGTCCCATGGAAGTTGCTTTCCAGTTCCATGCACTGTGTGTGTGGAAGCTTGGGAGGTCAGGGACCCTGCTCTGCTGGTGTTCCCACGTTTCAACCAGTGCGATGATGTCAAAATGCCCATATTCCGCTAGACCCAGTCCACAGTCGTCCAAATTTGCAACCTTGATGATGTCCTGCTTGATGGCGCAGCAACTAAGGTAACACCATCACCACGCCGTTGTATTATTGTTGAAAAGGAGACACCATAGTTGAACACATCCAATCCAAGGCTACTGAACTCTCTCCATTTTCCCGATGTTGAAAAAATGTAGGATCTACAATACATTTCCAACAACGCATTCGCCACAAAATGTGCCTATCTCGAGGCAAAGTCCTCTTTTCTCTGTCCATGTTATTGAATAAGTGCAGAGCCACCAAACTCTCTCCATTCATGATACAGCGCTTCATTGTGGCTTGCCTATGAATAGTCGATCAGGCCCACTTTCTTTCTACGTATGCTGAGAGGTCTTTTCCACGCGTGAAGGGAAAAGAATTTTACCTATAGTCACAACTTGGAGCGGGAGCGAGTAACTTGGAGTAAATCCTTGCGAAGAATTTTCCCTGTTGCTGACTTTGGAATCGAGGGTACAAAAGTCACTGCCCGGATCCTCTTATGAGAAGCGACCTGGGATAGAAAAACAAGATCACTGGAGAAGGGAAACTGTGCTTTTTACCTGTCTCGCAATGAAATCCATAACTTCGTCTTTCGAGAGCGATTTTCCCGCTTCGCCGGATCCACGAACAACACAGGCGAGAGGAATCTCACCAGCATCATCATCCGGGTACCTGGAAGAATATTTAAAACACGATGTTGACAAAAGATAAAGGTAGAAAATGGTGGTGGGCTTACGGGATCACGGCTGCGTCGGCAATGCCTGGATGAGCGAGAAGAAGAGCTTCCAGTTCCGCAGGAGCAACCTGGAAGCCTTTGTACTTGATGAGTTCCTTGAGCCTGTCGACGATGAAGAGGAAGCCATCGTCGTCGAAGTAGCCAATGTCTCCGGTGTGGAGCCAGCCCTCTGGATCGATGGTGGCGGCGGTGGCGGCAGGATTGTTGAGGTAGCTTTGCATGATGCAAGGGCCTCGCAGCCAGAGCTCGCCTCGAGAGTGTGGAGGCAGTGGCTTGCCCGTATCCACGTTCGTGACTTTGGCTTCGTGGTTCGCTGTTAGAAGCCCGGCCGAGCCGAATGGAGCTTCTCCACTGGCACCAAGACCAGTTGTCTCAGTCATGCCGTAAGCCTTGAGTGACAAGAACTTGAAAGTTAGAGCCAAAACCAAAGAAAATTCCTGGACAACTCTGATGAAAGTCATGCAAAAGTTCTAAGAACCAAAGAAATTCTTGGACAACTCTGATAAACACGAAAAGCGAACCAAAATCATGCAAAAGTTCTGAGCCAAGCAAGGAAAATCGAACAAGAAAACCGTGAAGAACGAAGAACATACCTGACTAAACTCTTGGATTTGTGGAAACTTTGCTAGAAATGCTTCCAAAGTTTCCTTGGCCAGTGGAGCAGCGCCCGATGCGGCTCTCTTCAGAGAAGATAGATCGTAGCTTTCCACCGCTGGGTGCTTGAGGAGCGCGACCACGATCGGCGGCACCATGGGCAGACTGGTGATCTTAAATCGCTGGATGCACTGGAGCATGTGGAGGAGGTCGAATTTCCTGACCACCACCATCGTCGCGGCGAGATAGATCATCATGCAGCCGCTATAGATGAGCCCGGCGATGTGGAAGAGCGGCAAAAGGATGAAGGTCACGACCTTGTCATCGTTGTCATTGGGCTTAGAGGCGAGGATCGAGACCGCGGCGATGAGATTTCCATGAGAGAGCAGCACGCCTTTGCTCGGCCCCGTGGTCCCCGACGAGTAGAGCAGCGCCGCTGGATCGCCCTGCCGGATTCTCACCGCGCTAGGGAATTTGCTCTCATCCACGGCGAGGAGGCTCTCGAATCGCACGAAGCGTGGATGATCCTGGAAGAATTTGGCGCCGGCATTCTCCCCGTCGAGGATCACCGTAGGGAAACCCTGCCCGTTCTTGCCGATCTTGGCGACCAGGTCCGGCATCGTCACGACAAATCCCGCCCTGGAATCTCGCAGCTGGCGCTCGATTTCGGCAGCGGTGTTGGCCGGATTGGCCGTGGTCGCGACGGCGCCGATGGAGAGAATGGCAGCGAAGAGGATCGGGAAATACACCGTGTTGCCGAGCAACAGGAGGACGACATCACCTTGGGAGACTCCGACAATCGATGAGAGGCCCGACGCCACGGATTTGGCGAGGCGCTGGAAATCGCCGCAGTGGATCGTGAAGCCGGTGGTGGAATCGACGAGCAGCGGCGACGACGAGTTGGATGGATCGGCTAGAGGCCCCGAGAAGAGCAATGCGGGGAGGCTGTGATGCGTTTGGAGAGGAATCGGGACTGGAGGGAACAAGCTGCGATAGATCCCGTCCTCTCCATAGCCGCCTTTTACCTCCGCCATAGCCATAGCCGGGAAAATATGATATGAACTCTAGGTTAGGGTTTTAGCGCAGGGATTGTGTCTGGAAGGAGTGATGGCGGCTCAAGCTCGCGCTGTGGCGCTGTGCTCGCGCGATCGGCAAGAACGCGAGCGCAAGAGATCATCTCAACAGGTACTTGCATTTTCTTTTGGTGTCTAGAAGATTTCAAACTGTTCCATCAGCTACCAGCGGATCTCGTACCGCGAGCGATGGCGAGAGAGTGTCTTCGAGCTCGCGCTGTGACGATTGTCGGCAAGAACGCGAGAGAAAGAGATAATCTCACAGGTGCTTGGGCCAGGCTTGTATTTTTCTTTGGTGCTATTTTGCTTGTCTTAGAAGAAGTCAAGCTGTTCTATCAGCCGTGGCGTGGACTAGCGAATCTCGTGGAAGAAAAAGGCCGTAGGTCTGTCAAGAGTTATTTTTTTCTCTTTGTCGAGCCAAGATCTAATTGGCATATCTTTGATTGTCTGTTTTCTTTGCACGAGCTTGGCGGACGCATGAAGATAGGTATGATTTTTTCGTTTTGGCACTTCATAAGTTCGTCGTTTCGTGATTTCAGTAATTTAACTTCTGTGTCAGATAGAGCTCCCAAATTCTATCGAGCTGCAAACTTTGATTAAGCAAAAGAGAAAGAGGCCGAATGGACCTGGGAAAATAAAGAAAGGCATCGCGATCGTGCCACACCTGTCGTTTGCCAGAGAAAGACGGGGAGATATGAGAGGAAAAAACTTTTTTGCGGCATTAACATCTTCTACCAAACGAGACGCTGTCCAGACCCACTTTTGACAAATTTCGGAAAGTCAGCCGAGACACGGCTAGCACTCAATGGTGCTCCGCAAAGATATGGTTGCAGAAATTATCCAGGTACGAGCGCGCACTCCCTCTATCAACTTGAGAGGAATTTCCTGCTTAAATCTTGCTCACCCATGTTTTTTTTCTCTCCAGACAATCCGAGTTTGTTGATCCGAAGTTCTATCCCAGCGGGTCTCTTTAGAGGAAGGAAGAAAGAAGAGCGAAAGAAGAATGGTACGATTCCCTCCACCAGCAGCAGCAGCAGCAGCAGCATATCTTCTGTTTCTATTCACTACCAGTAGCTTTGTTCTCGGCAAAAGGTATGAGCTATCGCCCGGCTGGACTGCTGTGAACAACGAGAGCTTGAAAGGGGCTGGAAGCGATGGCGGTTCTAGCTATCGGATTTTAAGAGCTGGGGAGGATCCTATAGTCAGTGACAATGGAAGCTTTAGCTTGGCCTTCTACGACCCCCAGGGAACGAACAGATACTTCCTGTGTGTGCTGCTAAACGTTGGGAAATCCAAGCCAGCTCCAGCCTCTCTCGTGGTTCCAATCTGGATTGCAAACTCCAACTCGTCATTCTCCGGCAAGGCAACTCTGATGCTCACAGGAACACACAAAAAGTTCATACTTCTCGACTCCACCGGGACTTTGAAGTGGAGTAGCGGTAGCGTGGTCGGAATCTCCAGCTTGGAGCTCGATGAGACAGGGAACCTGATGCTGATCAGCGAAGATGGCAGCGTTCTCTGGCAGAGCTTCGAGCACCCGACGAATGTTCTCGTTCCAGGACAGACTTTGCGGCCGGGAATGTCGATCACAAGCGTCAACTCGAGCTCCCAGCAGCCGGGACCGTTTAGAGGCACTATGGAAGCGAGTGGCTTCGTGTTCTACGTTCTTCCAGAGACGGAGCCGACCATGGCCGATATGCTTCGCAAGCCGCAGCCGTATCAGGTGTGGAGCGTCGGTTCTAGCAGCAGCAGCCTCGAATCCGCCTTGAAAGTTTGCGACTCTTCCAAGGCGGTGATGGCCGTGACAAGCAGCGGCATCGTGATCTCCTACGAGCGTTCCAGCAGCGGCGAGTGTGGCGGCGATGGGAAATCCTTACAGGTGTATAGAAACGACGAGGATACAGCAGCGGAGAGCCAGTACTGGAAGCTCGAGGAAAATGGCGACTTTGTTCTTCGCGGGTTCCACGAGCGGGAGCAAAACTGGGCGACGGTGTTCGCTCTCTCGACCCGGGCCAACGATTCGTGCAAGCACCCGACCGCGTGTGGGAGCTACGGGCTTTGCAACAGCCAGGGGAAATGCCAGTGCGTGGGAAACGAAGAACTGGACGATCACACCTCGCACTCTTGCGGCGCTCCGTCCGGCGTCTCGGCCTCTTGCCTCGCGAACGAGGCCGCGAACCACCACTTCGTGAAGATCCCCTCCGCGACTTACTTCTCCAACGCGTTCTCCCGGCCGGATCTCCGCAGCTCGTCGCTGGAGGATTGCTCCGCCGCGTGCGCGTCCAATTGCTCCTGCGCCGCCGCGTTCTTCAGCCGGAGCGGCGGCGGCGATTGCTTCCTGGTGGACGAGGTCATGGGCAGCTTGAGCTTGGTTGGGGGCGGCGCTGGAGCGGAGGAGGGGGATTACACGGCGCTGGTGAAGATCCAAAACGCGCAGCTCATCTCGGCGCCACTGTCCGCTAGCCGGGGGAAGGGGACGAGCAAATCCGCGCGGACTGCCATCATCTTCCTGGCGGTGCTGTGCGGTGTTCTAGCGGTGATGCTGGCGGCGGGCGGCTACATTATCAAGATCAAATATCCCCACGCTTACAACAAGATGATGAGGAGGTCGTGATCGACGTGATTTTCAAATTTAAATGTCAGAATATGCTCTAGGGGTTTGAGGTGGCAGTCACAAGCTGACATGTCTGATGACGGCACGAGTTTGTGTTGTTGTGTTGTGACTGCCACGTCAAGCCCTAGACACAGGTGGCAATAATGCATAGTGCCAGATGACATGGCACGAGTGACGTGGCATTCTTTATTACTTGCAGTTCCCGCCGACCTGTGCTTCAAAGGTACTGTGATCAATGAATGCCAAAATCGAGGGAGTGAATGCCCTGGCTATTAGGTTAACCAGTCTAGATAGATCCATTGTTGGATTGGAGGGCGGAAGAAGCCAGCAATGCCGCCACCGATTGCGAGTAGAAATCTCCATTCCATCTCCGCGATTCTCCTCCTGCTCTTGGCCGGGCTCACAGGATCGCGGCGAGCAGCGAATGCGAAGAGGTATGATCTTCCTCCGGGCTGGATGGGGAACAACACCCGGGGCGCGCTCACTGAGATCCGTCTCTCGGATGGTTCTTTCTATCGGATCCTCAAGGCGCCAATTATCGGCGGGCAAAGGCATGATCTAGAGGATGTTACCAGCGACAATGGCACATTTGCCCTAGCCTTCTTCCATCTCCACGGTGGCTTCTATCTCGCGGTGGTGCTCCAGGCCCCTGGCCATGGCGAGATCTCTTCTTCGTCTTCCTCTAGCAGTGCCATTCCTGTGTGGATTGCGAACAGGGGTGGCGCCGTGGATGACAATGCGACGCTGCTGCTCACTCCCCAGAACGGCAAGATCATCCTCCTCGATTCCTCTCATAACTTCCGGTGGGGGCCAAATTCGGAGGCGATCGCGGGCGTGGAGCTCTTGGAGTCCGGGAATTTAGGGTTCTTCACGGCGCAGGGCGCGGTGGTGTGGCAGAGCTTCGAGCTCCCGCAGGAGGTGATCCTTCCCGGCCAGGCTCTCAAGCCGGGAATGCAGCTCACAAGCAGCGGCACGAATCGATCCAGCCTCTACAGGGCCCAGGTCCGCGGCGATGGATTGGTCTTGAGCGCTGGAGATCCCAAGATGATCGTCCCACAGCCCTACTTCGCCTGGAGATTGAAGGAGAAGTGTGATGGATCAGAAGCAGTTCTAGGATTCACCGGCGCAGAGATCACACTCTCCTATCCAGGCGCTTGTCGATCGCTTGCACTGTCCATCCCGCTCAACACTGCCGATCCAATCCTTCTTCCGTTCGTGCGACTCGATCCAGATGGCGATCTCGTCGCTTACAAATTCCATCCTCGATCCGCGACCTGGGTGCCCGGATTCCAGCTCTCGGCTCTCCAGCCCGATTCGTGCAAGCTCCCCAGCGCGTGTGGTACCTACGGCATTTGCGAGCTCGGGGGCAAATGCCGGTGCCTGGAAGTCCCACACCGCGGCGGCGAAAGCTACCGCGAGGGCGCGCCGTCAGCTGTACCGTGCGGTACTGCGCCGCCACTTGGCGCACCGCACGGACTACCGCAGGCCGACCAATGCGCCGACGAATACGTCAACCACCACTTTTTAAATGTGAGTGGCGTGAGCTACTTCGCGGTACCGTTGGCGGTACCCGATATGCGCGGCGCGTCGCGCGAGAAGTGTGCCGCGGCGTGCCGCTGGAACTGTAGCTGTGCCGCGCTGTTCTTTGATAACCGGACTGGGGAGTGTTTCTTTGTGCTGGACGAGATCTTGGGCAGCTTGACGATCGATCCCGCGCGGAGCTCCAGCATGATCGCGATGCTCAAGTTCTCGAACAGCCGGATCCTCAAGGGGCCGCAGTGGGGCGCTACTTCATCGCCGGCGGGGATGGAGAGAGCAAAGAGGGCGATTCTCATCGCCGCCGTGGCTGGCGTGACAGGATTCGCGATGATCTCTCTGGCGGTCTGCCTGGTGATCGTGCTCGCGCGGCGGTCGAGATCATCCACCCAAGCGAATCTGGAGGAGATGGAGCTGGATCTCGTCTTGAGCGGCATCCAGGGGCTGCCACAGCGATTCCAATATTCCGTTCTAGAGGCCGCGACGTGGGGATTCTCCAGGAAGCTTGGAGCTGGAGGATTTGGCTCGGTCTACGAGGGATTCCTGGAGGATGGCAAGAGAAGCATCGCGGTGAAGAAGCTCGAGGGCGCCAGCGCGCAGGGCGCGCGGCAATTCATCGCCGAGGTCGCGACCATCGGCAGCATCAGCCACATCAACGTCGTCAAGCTCTGTGGATTCTGCGTGGAGGGATGCCACCGGATGCTCGTCTACGAGTTCATGCCCAATGGCTCGCTCGATCGCTGGCTCTTCGTCTCGAATCAAACACCGGAGCATCCGCGAGGAGTCCTGAGCTGGGATCGCCGGGTGGAAATCGCGCTGGGCACTGCTCGCGGGCTGGCCTATCTCCACGAGGAATGCCGCGAGCCCATAATCCACCTGGACGTGAAGCCCCAGAATATCCTCCTGGATGAACGGTTCGTGGCCAAGGTCGCGGATTTCGGAATGTCCAAGCTGCTGGGCGGCCGCGATGTGAGCCACGTGGTGACGTGCGTGAGGGGGACGCCTGGATACTTGGCCCCGGAATGGCTGCTCCATTCCATCGCGACCAAGAAATGCGATGTCTATAGCTTCGGCATGGTTCTCCTGGAGATCATTGGCGGGCGGAAGAATCTCGAGGTTTCCAGGATGAACAGCGATCTGGCGTGGTACTTCCCGGCGTGGGTCGTGAACGAGGTCCGGGAGGGGCGATTGATGGAGATTGTGGACGAGAGGATTAGGGCTCTTGTGAGCGAGAAGGCGGCGGCGCAGATGATCCGGATCGCGCTGTGGTGCGTCCAGGAGAGCGCGGCGTCGCGGCCGACGATGCCGGAGATCGTCCAGATGATCGAGGGGCACAGGGATGTGGAGGAGCCGCCCATGGCGTTCCATTTCGCGGTCCAGACAATGGTGGACATCACGGCGTCCAGGGATTGCTTGTCCATGGCCTATGTCACTCCTCCCAGCTTCGATGTCTCGAGCTTGATCCGGTGAGAAGATCATCCAGTAGGGCTTACAGAAGAGGAAGAAGCATCTTTTTTTAACACAAGAATATTCTCCTTGGCGCGAGTTGTAAACTCTTAGGGTTCTTCTTTGGGTTCATTAGTAAGCCCTAGTGGAATGGCGCTTGCGATTTCTTCCGGCCGCGGCAAGGCGATCCAGCTCCAGCCGGTCTCGCACATCGCGTTCGTGGTACGTGACGCTGCTGATTCGGCCAATGTGCTGCTTGTGCGATCGATCGCTGCTGCCGATCTGGAGCCGGGCGACTCCGAAATCTGGGACCTTCCCTGCTTCGATCTGCCGAGGCTCGGCAAGCGGCAGCAGCTGAGAGGCAGCATTGATCATCCACAGCTCGTTTGCAGCGTGGAGGCGGCTCTTCGAGAGGCTGGAGTGAGAAATTTTGCCATTGAGGAGGCTATTGAGAAGGTGAGGTCTACTTTTTCTTTGCCTTTGTTGGACTTTAGTGTTTGATATGTTGCGTTTTTTCTTCCTCTAGGTGCAAGCGCTGGTGCCTACGCCTTTACATTTTGTCAGCCTTTGGAAAATTGTTAGAGAGCCAGATTTTGGACCCAGGGCCCCGATACAAACCGTGGTGTTGATCGTGGAAGCACCACGATATGTGTCGTCCTTGGGTGGGTTTGATCTTTTTGTTTTTCTTTCTTTTTCTCTTCATACGAATGTATCTTTCATCCAGGTTCTTGTGAGTGGTTTGATCCTCAGAGAGCGCTGGAGCTGCTTGTGAATGAGACTCGTGATGCCGAACGCGTCGGTGTTCTCGCTGCTAGTTTTTTCTATCCCTTGTTTCCAAAGGGTACTTGCAGCGATCTTAACTTGGAGTGTTTCTACCAGGTTTGTCTTGTGATGTTGTTTAAGATTATATGCCATTAACATTGGATGTTTTGCCAGGAGTATCCCCCAGGAGTGTTAGTCATTCCTATGCTGTCGCGAACTTTGAAGCCTTTTTGCAAAACTAACTTGGTCATAAGCGCACCAACGAGTTCACGGTTTTTAGATGCGGACGTGAACATCAATGATAGTACATTTACTGGACAGGCTTTGATTGTAGATCCTGGTTGCTCAGTTCCGACATATAACGAGGTATGGATTCTTGTTTTTCGTTTTTCAAGTTGCTTTACAAGAGAACTTTCTGCAGAACAGCTGGTTGCAATCGTTAGATTATTGCCCAAAAAGCTATTTGTTTTTCTAACTCATCACCACCTAGATCACACTGAAGGTCTCCCCGCTGTTAAACGAGCCAACTCCGAGGCCATTGTCATAGCGCACGAGAAAACTCTCAAGAGAATTGGTCCAGGTTTGTGTGAAATCTATTCAAGTGCTCATGCAAAATTGTATGAAACAGCTCTTTATGGCATCAAGTATGTATCAGTAACTGGTGGAACGAAGCTACTTATCAGCGGACAACGTTTTGAGATCATTGCCGCTCCTGTAAGCTGTTTGCGTGATCTATTCTTTAGGCAAGCAAGCAAGCTTCATTGTCATGGCAGGGCCACACGGATGGACATCTTTGTTTGTTTCACCTCGAAACTCGGACTCTTGTCGCTGGCGACCACTGTGTGGGGTATGCATAAGTTTTCCAATCGAGTTTCTAATCGACGAGAATCTTTGCAGTGAAGGAAGTTCCATTGTTGATGGCAACTCTGGAGGAAATCTTCATGTAATAAACCAGGCTCTTTTATATTTTTATTCTGATTCTTTTCTCCTTGCGTTTACAGGACTACATGAACACTAGCCATCGCCTGTTGGAGCTCGCGCCTAAGGTAGTGGTGCCGATGCACGGACGGCCCAATCTCTTGCCTTTGCAGCTTCTCAAAGGATACATAAAGTGAGTGATCTCTAAAGCAAATTCGCTGGTGGCAACACGTAACTTTGTTTTTTCAGGCATCGACAAACCAGGGAAGCTACTATCTTAAAGGCTATCGAGGCCGGCGCAACGAGTGCGTTCGCCATAGTTTCTAGTGCGTACAAGCAGACAAACATATTGCTCTGGCCAGCAGCGTTGATCAACGTAAAGGTTCACGTCGACCACCTGCAAAGGCAGCAAAAGCTACCACAGGTATAATTCTCACACCAGCGCTGCTATCGTGTATCGGCTAAACATCTACCGCGTTCTCATCGCAGGGGTTTTCCGTGGAGAAATTCAAGCGTAGCTGCGGACTCGCTTTCAAAGTGCGATGGTTTGCGAGATTCGTCGGTTCGTACGCTTTCCAGCGTAACGCATGGAGACTCCTGGTATGCCTTGCCGCGATTTTCTTCGTTTGGTACAAATGGGGCCAGGGATCGGGCGAGGAAGAAGAGTGGTGAATCTACCAACTTTGATAGGTGACTATAAAACTCTCTTATACAGCATGGGACTAATATAATGCTCCTGACAATGTTATAAACAATGTATATACGCAAATTTCTTCCTTCTAGAACAAGGTGGTGGATCGTCAAAGCTCTAAGATATGATATATCCAATCAGACAGAGAAACTCTAGCTGCTGTTACTCTATACGTGTAACAATGATAATAGCTGGTCTTGTAAACAATGCATATAGCGAGCTTGACTAAGCCTCGTAAAAGCAGGAGCCTCTGCTAGAGTAGAAGTGATACCTGGCATTCCACCGAGGACGCTGCTTTAGACAATGTGACGCCATGCTTGAACACCACGCTTGATTTTCCCCTGCGTTGAAGCTTTCCACCGCCCGCTTTTCTTTTCTTTTCTTTTTTTTCTTTCTCCGAAGTATTGCTTCGTCAGTAGCTTCTCCAGTCCCTTTATCAAAGCGAGACGTTGATAGCTCTCGATAGAAGAACGCTCGCTCGATCGAAGAAGAACCGTGCCGAAAGAAAGAAATCTACTTGGCTTGCGACGATGGCTCGTGGAAGTTTTTGCTGCTCGACCACCACGGTGGTGCTGCTAGTCGCGGCATTCTTGCCGCTGCTGTGTGGAGCTCAAACTTTCCCAGCTCCGGCACCTGGACTGGCCTATGGATTCTACAACACCTCCTGTCCCAGCGCCGAGAGCACCGTCCAGCAAATGATGCAGTCCATTCTCACCTCCAACATCTCCGAGGCCGCTGGGATCATCCGGCTCTTCTTCCACGACTGCTTCGTCCAGGTTACTCGAGCTTTCTCTCTCTCTCTCTCTCTCTCTCTCTCTCTGTTTCTTCCGAGTTGTTCTAGGAACTTTGCTGTGATCGCAGGGATGCGATGGCTCGCTTCTCATCAATGCTACCAACGGGGAGCTCTTCTCGATCCCGAACTTGACCATTCGTCGCTCTGCTATTGCCATCGTGGAGCAGATCAAGGCGAGATTGGAGTCGGCCTGTCCGAACACTGTCTCTTGCTCGGATATACTCGTCTTGGCTGCTCGAGAATCCGTGACCCAGGTACTAGCAAAGTCCTGTAAGCTCTTCTCGCGCCAAACCTATGTGATCCTTTGCTGTGTTCTTGCCTTCTAAAAGGCTGGAGGACCATCGTTTCCTGTTCCAACCGGACGTCGCGACGGCACCACCTTCGCCAGTAACCAGACTGTTCTCAGCTTCATCCCGGCTCCCAGCTTCAACTTCTCACAGCTTAACTCCTCCTTCCAGACCAAAGGCTTGAACGAAGCGGACTTAACAGCTCTCTCAGGTAAAGCAAGCTCCAAAACTTCTCTTGGACCGTTCCAAAAACTCTGTCCTCGCTGCCGCTGCTTTCAGGAGCTCACACCATCGGAATCGCGCACTGCTCGGCCTTCATTGGGAACCTGTATCCCAACGTCAGCTCCCGTTTCAACTCTTCCTTTGCACAGACCCTGTTGCAGTCCTGCCCAAGCAACACTTCCAACAACGTCGTCAACATGGACCTGGTCACCCCGAATGCCTTCGACAGCCAGTACTTCAGCAACGTTCTCTCTGGCTCCGTCGACTTCGACTCGGACGCTGCTCTTCTTAACAGCACCACCACGCAGAGCAGCGTGCAGGCTTTCGCAGCGAACCAGACCCAGTTCTTCAACCAGTTTGCCGTGAGCTTCATCAAGATGAGCATGATCGAGGTCCTGACCAACTCGAGCGGGAACATTCGCAATGTCTGCTCGGTCTTCAACTCCAACAGCAGTAGCACTATTAGCCTGAACTCGTCCCCTGAGAACCTTGTCGAGCAAGTGTGAGATTCACATTATTTGGCAATATCTACAAGCGAGACTTTCATCACCGATCTCAGTAATGAGAAACCTGTTGTTCTATGGGAGCGTTGTAGTGTCGCCTGCGAAGTTCTGATTCCGGCTCCAGAGGCTGTTGGAGGTACAGTCTTGTGGGATCGTTTGGATCGATATATCTGCGAAAAGAACAAAAGTTCAATCGGATTACCGCACGAGGAAAACAACCAGACTCACGCATGGCGTATCATGTCGTCCACCGGTGCCTGGGTCTCTGGAATGGGATTTTGAGCAGCAGCACGCATGGATTCCGTAGCACGGATGGATCGCAACAGGCCGAAGAAAATAGGAATGAAAGTTCCAACACCACCTTCTTTGAACAGAATCTTGAAAGGATATGGAGCGTAGAGTGCGGGATTGGCACCCTCTTGAATAACCTTCAAAAAAAGAGAGAAGAAAGTCACAAACAAATTTCGATGAAGGGAAAAACGATTTCTTAAGTCTGAAGAACTAGAAAAATTAACAAAAGGAAGGAACTTACAGGATGGACCTTCCCGGATAAGTTGTTGCAAAAGAAGATAGGCTGGTTGAAGCTCTCTTCGTGAATAAACATCTGTGGCAACAAAGGAAAAAATCACAGCTTTGTCAGGAAAAAGAGAAGATCTTGCAAAATAAATGCTTTGCGTAAATTACCAGAGGCATGTCAAACGCGAAGAAATTCCCTACTGGCTGTCGCGCAACGAAGACGAGGCGAATATTGGACAGATAGATCGTCCCCTTGGTGACGATCTTGCCACTGGGAACACTGAAAAACCCAAAGAAATCCATGACTCGATGGAATCGATCGAGAATGCAATGCTTACTCTGGCAGCTTCTCGACCTGGAACTCCACGCCATCCCTGGCGAGCGCCAGAACCTCGTTCACAAACGGCAGCGGGAACCCGGATGGATGGAGCTGCGGATTGAGCGCCATCGCCAAACCCTAAAATTTCGCCCAGGGATAAAGAACCCTAATATCTGAGAGGGGTTTAAGATAGAGTAGTCGAGCTATGGTGTTGCGCCAATGCGTCTCGGCCCCGGCGGCGCTCGCTAATCGCTCGCTCTTCCCTTCCAAGGACTGGCGCACTGCGCTCCAGAGGAGCGGGCGCGGCCAGCGCGGTTTCCAGTCGGCGGTATGCGTCCACGGGCCAATGCTGGGCAGGATTCGCGCGAATGCGACGAGGAAGAAGCCCGTGTCGATCGATTCTCTCAAGAACAAGAGCCCGCCGCCAGTGGTGAGCTTGACAGGAGTGTCGCCGCATCCAAATGTTTACAGGGATTTCTCGGATGGAGACGACGAGGCCGAGCCAGAGGGTAGCGTCATCCAGCTCAAGAAATCTCCCTCGAGCAAGAAGAAATCCAATGCCAGGCCCCCAAAGAAGGAGCTGCGATTCAGTGACTCCGAGGAGGAGGAAGAAGAGATCGATGCTCAAGTAAGTGATAGTGATAAAGAGCTAGAAGAAGAAGATGATGATCAAACCGGAGAGATATCGCGAAAACCAGTGCTCACACTTCCGCAAGAGAAAGACGTGGAGGATCTCATGAACAGCTCTCGAGCGATTCTCTACGAGAGATTCGTGTTCAAGCATCTCGGAGAGAGGCCGACGAGGCAGCTGTTTGGATCAAACATCCACGTCCTGGCCAACGCGTCCCGGGTGAAGATAAACTCGGTGGAGTTTATCAAGAGCAGCGATGGGATCAAGGACTGTCCCATGGATGGTTTTCCAGAGGTGGCTTTCGTTGGGCGATCCAATGTCGGGAAGTCCTCGCTCGTGAATCTTCTCATGGAGAGGAAGAGCTTGGCTTTGGTGTCGAAGAAACCCGGTAAGTTCTTCACGGTTTTGATCTTCTTCTTGGAAGAACTTTGGAATTTCTTTTTGCCAGGGAAAACGCAGCTTATCAACCATTTTCTCGTCAACAAGCGATGGTATCTGGTGGATTTACCGGGTTACGGGTATGATCTTTCAGCGTTTCTCGTTGTTCTTCGATGGTTTTAACTCTTGGTTTTGGTTTCTTAGTTTTGCAAGCGCTCCAAAAACTTTGTGTGTCAAGTGGAACGAATTCACCAAGGATTACTTCCTCAAGAGGAAGACGCTCGTCATGGTTGTCCAGCTGATCGACTCCTCCATCCCCGTGCAGCAAATCGACATCGATTGCGCGACTTGGCTCAAGCAACACAACGTAAGTCTCGATCGAGCGAGCGAGTATTCGCTCGATCTAGCTCTCAAAAACTCCTTTTTTGTTGGTTTTAATCCTTGGTTTCTTGGCGATCGTAGATCCCATCGACGCTGGCTTTCACGAAGTGCGATCGAAAGAAGAAGAAGAGGAAAACCGGAGGAAAGCATCCGGTGGACAATGTGGTGGAGTTCTTGCAGGAAATGAGGCTGGTAACTACGCAAACTTACCCGTGGATTTTGACGAGCTGCGTTACCGGGCAAGGCAGGGACGAGCTGATGATGCACATAGAAGAGTTTCGAAATTACTGGCACAGTTAAAAAGTAAATCTTGGTTAAAACAGAGGGGTTTAAAAAACTAACCGGCGGGGTTTAACAAGTGGCGCCGCTATGGGCGAAGCGGCGCCACCAACCTCACGATATAAAATGTGTTGCCATAAACCCTAGTTTGTGGAGTGGAGGGAATTTAGGGCGAGCGCGGAAGAACACGACGCAATGACCCCAGCGCGCGCGAGGCAGGGCAACGGCGCACTCCGGATTCGGCTGTGAGTCTCGGATTCTCCTCAGCTTCTCTCCAGGTTGGTCTTTTCTTTCTTCCTTCGGATTTCCTTCGTGTCGCGTGTAAATCTCGTTGCTCGTTTGTGGATTCCGCGCAATCGCTGTGAGTGTGTCGAGAGTGGGAGGGAATTGGGAGAGATCTAGTGTAGGAAAATGCGGTGTCGGGATGGATTAAGAGAGGGAAAGAGGTGTTGACGGAATTTACATGTGAGGCGTTCTTTCAAGCTAGTTTTTGGGGGGGGGAGGGGAAGGGAGAGGGAGAGATAATAAAAATGCCAAACTCCACGGAGGAAGGGGGAGGGAGCTCTGGGGGTAATCACTCTGGGTCGGGGTCTAGGAAGGAGAAGAAGAAGCAGGCCAAGGAAGAGAGGGACCGACTCAAACAGGCCGAGAAGAAGAAGCGCAGGCTTGAGAAGGCGCTAGCAACTGCGGCGGCAATTCGATCCGAGCTCGAGAAGAAGAAGCAGCGGAGAAAAGAGGAGGAGCAGCGGCTGGACGAGGAAGGTGCTGCTCTCGCCGAGGCTGTGGCTCTGCAAGTTTTGGTCGAGGAGGACTTTGAAGGTGGCGGCAAAGTAGAACAGGAGGAGGTTTGTAGCTTGGAAAGTGATGAGAGCGTTGTTGGTGAGACGAGGAGGCAGTCGGGGGGTGTTTTCAGTGGGCAGCGAGTGTCGGGAAGCTCGACTTCTACTACGGAGAATGTGAGGAAGGGGACGAACACGAACGAGAAGGGGTCATGGGTTTGTGAGTGGGACTCGCCGGTGGGAGGGGGGCAGAATGACGATGAGTTCCTTAGCAAGAAGGGACTTATCACCACGGCCGAGGAGAAGGCGAGAGTTAGCACCGAGAGAGCTAAAGCAGCGGAGATGGCCGCTGGACTTGCTGCTGCGCAGGCTGTGGCTGCTCTCAGGATCGCCGAAGAGGCTCGAGCTGAGGCTGAGGCTGCCAAGAAAGCCGCAGAAGCGGCCATGATCGAAGCACTTGATCAGCGTGATCCTCAGCACAAGAGAGACCAAGAGATGGTAAACGTTCCATTTGTCCATGTTTTGGGATGACGAAACTTACCGCTTTCTTGCAGAGTGTGGTGCGTGAACCCGAGGAAGACAAGGCGGAGTTGAAGGCGAGGCTTATCGAGACGGAGAAGAAGTTACTGGAGAAAACCAGACGGGTTTCAGAGCTGGAGCAGAACCTTGATGAGGTTACTCAATACTTACTGGAGTTCAAAGCCAAGTTTGAGAGCGATAAGAACGCTACGATTCTCAGCTGCACAGCGGACGGAGTTACATCACAGGTGGGACAGTAGGCCATTTTGCGAGTAAGTCCATACGGAGGTGACGCAGCCAACGCTGCTGATCCTGTGGATCGCCTGGCATGGGGGCTCGTACGTAGTATCTATCAGTCAGTGGATCATCGTCGAGGCAATTTCTAAGGCAGCACTATGGTGGACGCTGCTGCACAGATGATGGGGTACTATGGCTTTCAGAGCTATGGAATTCCTGGTTTCGGCTGGCAATACGGGGGATAAGGACAGGGCAGGATACTGGAGCTCAGTTGCGTGGCCGAGACGATACGAAAATGCAGATATGTTCAAGCGAGAAGGAAGCGATGAGCAGATAAAACGAAGATAATTGTCTATAGACTCGGTCGGGGGCTTCGGACAAATAACAAGCTTTATATCCTTGGTGGACATTGAGGCTGCTGATGTGGATGGACCAAAATCCAGTCTTGGGAATTACGTGGCAGAGTGGAGACCGCAGGGTTGAATGTTTGTTTCACGCAAAGTCTCTCTCGGCAGCTACAACTACTCTAGCACTTGCACAATGGCGTGGTGACTGATTTGTGGAGCACCCATATGGGGATTCTATCGCCGGTGTTTGCAGCAGCAGTTTTGACACCGTCGAGGCCGTCCAGTAGCCAGCAGCAGGATGTCTTGAGCTATGAGGCCGGTCAGCGATTGTACTTGGATCCCAGGGCAGGGAATGTGTCTGCCGCTCTTGCTCAGAATTATGTGAAGCCGACTGTTTCTCGAGCAGCTAGCCAGAGAAATGATGACGCCGAAGCTGAGGCAAGGGCCCTCGCACGAGCTGTGAATGCTCCGAAGTATGATCCGGCTGAGCTCTCTAGGCGCTATGGAGGACAGCCACTCCAGGTACTTAATTTTCAGTGTTTGTAGTTTTGTCTCCCGAGAATGGAGTTTTTGGATTGATTGTTTGTCGCAGGTGACTAGAAGGACGCTGAATATACTGCTCGAGCTTGGCTCGTTTGCAGCCGATTTGTACTTGGACAAGCAAAGAGGCGAGCTAGAGCGGAACAAACGAGTCCGTGCAATTCAACTCAGGCAGAAGCTTACAAAGCTTGGTCCTACTTTTGTGAAGATTGGCCAGGGGTTATCAACCCGTCCAGATTTGTGTCCGCCCGAGTACCTTGAAGAGCTTGCTGAGCTTCAGGTAAGCACCCATATTTCACAGCATGGCAAGTGAGTAACGCTTGCTTTCCAGGATGCTTTGCCAACTTTTCCCGATGCCGAGGCATTTTCATGGATTGAAAGTGAACTCGGGGCAAGGCTTGAAGACGTTTACTCTTCTATAACTCCGTCTCCGGTAGCAGCTGCTAGTTTAGGACAGGTTTACAAAGCGGTTTTGCGATCTACTGGAGAAGTTGTTGCTGTGAAGGTACAGCGGCCAGGTATAGCTCAAGCCATTGGCCTCGATTTTTTTCTTCTCAGGAACGTATGCCAACTCATTGATAAGTATGTGGATGTTGTTACTACTAATGTCGTTGCTCTGCTGGATGAATTTGCTAGCCGAGTATATCAAGAGCTTAATTACGTTCAGGTGGGTGCTACATTTTCTCTCCAGTTGTGTTTCGCTAACGTTTGTTTCCTTTTTACCAGGAAGGCTTTAATGCGAAGAAGTTTATGGAGTTATATGGAGACAGGGTAGACGTCAAAGTACCCAGTATTTGCTGGGATTACACAAGCGTGAAGGTCTTGACTATGGAATGGATTGATGGCACCAAGCTTAGCGAACAGGAGGTTATCGAAAGCCAGGGACTCAACGTTTTGAAGATGGTGGACATCGGCATTCAGTGCAGCCTTCGTCAGCTCCTGGAGTATGGTTACTTCCATGCGGATCCTCATCCCGGGAATTTACTCGCAACTCCAGAAGGGAAGCTGGCTTTTATAGATTTCGGGATGATGAGTGACACTCCGCCTCAAGCAAGGTTCGCAATCATCGGGCATGTTGTCCATATGGTAAATCGAGACTACGAGGCTATGGCTCGGGATTACTACGCACTTGACTTTCTATCCCCGGACGTGGATGTCTCTCCAATAGTTCCCGCGTTGAAGTCTTTCTTCGATGACGTTCTGGACGCGACCGTAAGCGAACTCAACTTCAAGACAATTGTGGACGGACTTGGAGCTGTTCTTTACCAGTATCCTTTTGATGGTACGTACCTTCTGGATTGTAAACTTGCCTCACTAATGTTTCTTTTCTCTCTTTTTCTTTTTTCAGTTCCACCATACTATGCTTTGATCTTGAGGTCCTTGACGGTGCTCGAAGGCTTGGCCCTGTATACCGATCCAAATTTTAAAGTTCTCGCGGCTGCTTATCCATACTTCGCAAAGAGGCTGCTCACGGATCCAAATCCTTACTTGCGTGATGCTCTGGTTGAGCTCCTTTTCAAAGATGGTAGCTTCAGGTAGGCCTCCCAATTGTTTTTTTCTTTCTTCGTGTGTCTTACTCTTGTGCTTCAGGTGGCAGAGGTTAGAAAATCTACTAGTCCAGGGACGGAAGTCGTCCGATTTTGTAGCAAAAGATGCGTTACAGCCCGTTTTGCAGCTCATGCTCGGAGAGGAAGGAGCTGAGCTCCGCCGCCTCGTCGAGAAAGAAGCAGTACGAGTCCTGGAGGCGCTCGTCATCGGTAGCACGGTAGAAGGTTACAAGTCCTTGCCGGAGCCCCTCAAGTTCGTAGTCAACAGGGGCAACAACGGGCGCGTGATCGCTCTCAAAGAACAGGAAGAGGCCCAGATGCTCAAGCTTCGCCAGCAGGTGCTTCGAGTGTGGGGTCTCCTTCGAACATCCTCGGGTTTTGATCCAGCAATGCTTCAACCAGTTGTCGAGGTAAGAGAAACTCCTTGAAAACTTCGCTCGTCACTGTTTTTATGGCAGATTCTCAGGCTCCCGGAAGCACAGTCTATGGGTGCCCACGTTGCGACAGGCTTGACTAAACGTCTCGCTGCGCGACTGTTGCAGCAACTTCTCAAGCCAGCGACACCATTGCCAGCTTAAGCACCTTGTAAAAAATTGTTCGCTGTAAGCTCAGAATTGGATTAGTGTATTAACTTGGTTTATAAAGATTCTTTATGATTAAGCTAGGGCTTGTATTCTTCCAATTTTATTTTTTCTTCAGCGCCATGAAAAGGACGGGATTGGAGTTTTTCTACGCTTGACATTGCCACCAAAGAAAAGAAGAAAAGGGTGAAGGTGACACACAATTCTTTGCCGCTACCGCCAGCTTTGGAGGAGAAACCCACACTTGTGTTGGATATGGATGAGACACTAATCCATGCCCACAAGGCCATAGCATCTCTTAAGCTCTTCAGTGGGAAAACTCTTCCACTCAAGCGTTACCTTGTGGCAAAGAGGCCAGGTGTGAATACATTTCTAGATGAGATGAGTAAGATATACGAGATCGTGGTTTTTACTCGAGTAGTAAAGCCATATGCAGACAGGATTTTGGATAGGCTCGACCCAGTTGGGAATCTCTTCACCCATCGCCTCTATAGGGATTCGTGCTTGACCAAGGAAGTCAGAGGGAGAAAGGTTGTGAAAGATCTTTCGAGATTAGGGCGGGACCTCAGACACACAGTGATCGTGGACGACAAACCAGAGTCTTTTTGCTTGCAACCCAACAATGGAATTGTCATCCGAGCATTCAAAAACAGAAAAGGGCATAAGTATGATGAATTGAAGACAATAAGCAATCTACTCAAGGAAATTGCAAGAGTTGAAGACATAAGGCAAGCATTGGAGAAGGTAAAAAGTTCCAAGTCCGTCCACAATTGTCTCATAAAAAGAAACTCATGTATCCACTGTTTATGCTGTAACACTGCTCACTCTAGATTGGGGCATTGTTTTTCTCATGTCCAATTTAAACTTTGGAAACAATGTCAAGCATCTTGAGTTTCAGTCTGATTAATCACTTGAGAGCCAATAGATAATTGTGCTACTTAAGCAGCAGTGTAAAGAGAGACAATCGATATATTATGCAAAGAGAACATGTCCTGTCCTGAAACGCACCATAGAGCCTCTCAAAATCTCATGGCTCGATTAACTGGCCTATCCTTTTAGCATGGCAGTTAGCAATGACACTGTGCATTACTTAGAAACCGTCAGAGATAACCAAGATCTCAGTAGGACGAACTTCTTAAAACTTGAGGAAAAAGATTGACAGACGTTGAGATCCTCTGGAGATATCATCAGCTGCTGGATGTGGTGGAGGCGGAGCAGAACCTCAGGTCAGACCCTGCTTATCTTTCTTACTATCACTCGCATGTCCAAGCCTCTTGTTTGAGTAGTTTACTGTGTGTTCTTTCTCACAGCACGAAACCTCAGAGCTATAGAAACGTTAGCTTTCAATGAAAACAATTCAAAGTTGATACTAGAGAAATGGACAATGGCACATACTTTTTGCTCTCCTTTCGAGATCGTGGCACTACTAAAGTCCTGCAAGGATCTCGCCCAAGGCAGGCAAATCCACGCGCAGATTTCGGCTAGCAAACACCACAGCAAGAACATTGCCCTCTCCAACCTCCTCGTCAAGATGTATGGTAGATGTGGCAGCCTCGACGATGCATGGCGGGTTTTCGACGGCCTGGATCAGCCCAACGTTTACTCCTGGAATATCATGATTCGAGCATATACCGAAAATGGGGATATGCTGCGAGCTCGCGCCCTCTTCGACAAGATGGCTCAAAAGAATGTGGTCTCCTGGACAACGATCATAGAATCTTACGGACGAAGCGGGAATATACTTGAAGCCAAGAATCTTTTTGAGTTGATGCCTGACCGCGATGTAGTTTCTTGCAATGTGATGATCGAGGCATTTGCCCAGAACGGGCATCTCCAGGCAGCAAGGAGGCTGTTTAACGAGATGGACGACAGGGATGTTGCCACGTGGACGACCATGATCACGGCCTACTCCCAACGCGGGGATCTGGTCGTCGCCCGCGAGTTCTTTGACGGGATGCCGTACAGGAGCATTGTTTCGTGGAGCGCCATGGTCACCGGGTACGGACAGAATGGCCAGCTCCAGCAGTCGCGCTGGGTGTTTGAATCCATGCCCGAGAGGAACCTTTTGACGTGGACAGTCATGGTTGCGGTGTATGCCCAGTGTGGGCATTTGGAGGAGGCCAAAGAGTTGTTTGATGCGATGCCGGAGAGGGATGTGGTGGCCTGGAATGCGATGATTACCGGGTTTTCGAAGAACTTTAAATTGATGGAAGCGCGCAAGATGTTTGATTCTATGCCTCGGAGGGACTTGGTGTCGTGGGCATTAATAATCTCTGCATATGCTCAGAACGGGAATATACTACAAGCAGAGGCTTTGTTTAACTTAATGCCTTTCCAGAACTTAATAGCAAAAAACACGATTATGGATGCGTATGCATCTCATGGTCAGATTGATAAAGCTAGATTCTTATTTGATCAGAGTCTAGAACGGAATCTAGTGTCGTGGACAACAATGATCACTGCATATGCCAGAAACGGGCATCTGGAAATGGCAAAGGATCTGTTTGATCAGATGCCAGAGCGCGACACTGTTTCTTGGAACACTTTGATCAACGCTTACGCGCAGCAGGGCTTCGTTGATGAGGCATTAGATATTCTCAGCCAGATGCCATGGAAAGATGTAGTGTCGTGGAACATTATCATCGCTGCAAATGCCCAGAACGGAGAAAACGAACAAGCAATCGCCCTCTTTCGGCAAATGGACCTTGAGGGCATTCCTGCCAACGAGATCACATTTATCACGGTCCTGGACGCCTGCACAACGATATCTGATCTAAAGATCGGGCGGGCAGTCCATGCCGAGGCAGTGACGAGTGGATTGGGAGGTGTGGAGGCAGTGACCACGGCTGCAATTACAATGTGTGGGAAATCCGGGAGCTTGCCAGAGGCTACGAGGCTATTTCAATCTATGCCGGTCAAGAGCACAGTAGCATGGGGCGCGATGATCACAATCTACGCACAGGGTGGACAAAGTGAAATCGCCCTTGATCTCTTTCGGGACATGGAGCTTGACGGGATCCAAGCGGATGGCATCACTTTCATAGCTGTGCTGTCAGCTTGCTGCCATTGTGGGAGATTTCGGGAGGGATGGGAGTTTTTTGTGAGCTTGAGGCTGGACTATTGGGTGGAACCCATGGCTGAGCACTATGAGTGTCTTGTGGATCAGTTGGGAAGAGCGGGCAAATTGAGAGAGGCGGAAGAACTGATTGAGAGCATGCCATTCTATCCCACTCCAGTTGCTTATACTCAGCTCCTGAGTGCTGTAAAGACGCAGGAGGGTGATCAAGGTGATCGTGGCAATATAATCAGGTCTAGTGCTGAAAATTTGGCTACTAAAGTACAAGAACTAGATGATCAAAACTCGTCTAGTTATGTGCTTCTATCCACCTTATAAAAAGACAAAGATTTCACTTCGATGTATGTTTTAGCTTTCAAGCCACATTATCTACCACTGAGTAACAACTGAATGGACTTTCGAAGTTCCATCCCTTCCTCCAGCTTTCCACCCCTCATAAGCATGTCAAAAATGCAAACATAGTGATCAACCATGCTCTCAATCCCAAAGTCCTGGATCATGGAGATCAGGAAATGTTTGGCTTGGCAGAGTGATCCTCCATGACCACAAGAAGCAATAATGCCAATAAATGAGATCTCGTTTGGTGTCACGCCTTCAACAAGCATGCTATGGAAGCATTCAACAGCCCTTCCAAAATGCCCAGTTCGGGAAAGTGCTGTCAACATTGCCGTCCAGGAAATGATACTTCGATTTGCCATTCTTGAGAAAACTATCTCTGCCCATTCAATCGATCCACCATTACCATACATGCTGATGATGGCATTTGCAATCTCAATCTCCTCCGGGTGTGCGACTCTCCAGTGGATCTCCCTGCCCTGGAGAAGATCTGGGATGCTAGAACATGCCTCAATCACTGTAAGAAATGTGATCTTGTTTGGTGGCACATTCATCCTATAAAACAAATCAATTGCCTTCCTTGGCTGGTTATTGCGTGTGTAAGCACAGATCATTGCATTCCATGATGCTGCATTTTTATCTGGCATGCTCTCAAATAAAATAATTGCTTCTTCCAATTGCCCTGCCTGTCCATATGCGGCTACCATGGCGTTCCACACAATTGTGTCGTATGAAGGCATTTGTACAAACAGACAATGGGCTTCTTCCAGGTGCCCTGCATGGGCATTTGCTACAACCATAGTTGTCCACGTCACTACATCCTTTTCAAGCATGGACTGAAAAACTTGTTTAGCTTTAGTTAAATTACCGTCTTGGCAGTATGCTGACAATATCGTGTTACACGAGAAAATATCCCATTCAAGCATTCTATTTAGTAGAGTTTCTGCCCTATGCAGATTATTTGTTTTTGCAAAGGCTGCTAGCATTGCATTTGATGCCATGAGATTTTTTTCTGGCATTTTTTCAAAAAAGAGATTTGCCTTATCAACACAAGAACATGTGGCATATCCAACGACAATTGCAACCCATGATTCAATGTCTCGTTCAGGGATGCGATGAAACAAAATTTCTGCTTCTTGTAAATGCCCTGATTTGGCATATGCAGCGATCATGTTGTTCCAGGTAAGAATGTTTCTGTAGGGCATCTGGTTGAAGACGTCCAGCGCCCGTTCAATGAGACCACACTTTCCGTAAAGTTTGATGATGAGAGTGTTGAGGTAGACATTGGCATGGTGCTCACTTCTTGAAATTTCTGAATGGAGACAAATCCCCGTTCCTAGATTCTTTGTGTTATAACATGCTTTAAGAAGAGTGCCCAGTCTTCCCACATCAGTTAGGGTTGATTGAAGCATGCTAGAGCAAATCAATCAATCTATACATTTATTTCAAAGAATATTTAAAATGTATAGCAGAGAATATTATTAACAAATCCTATTACAAATCAAATTTTTGCACTGCAACATTTTAGTTTTTTTTATAGGTGTTTAATTTAGTATCTTGTCAAATATTAAAATTAACTTGTTTATTTAAAATTAGAAAATATTAAGAGTATTAATACAAATATGCTACACTTGCAATGACAAATATAAGGTGGCAAATTTGCTTGTAAGTAAAATTTAGGAATGTCTAATTTACCTCATTCTTGAGATTACTTTTATAATTTCATCAATTAGTGCATTCTAAACCAAAAAAAAACTCAGAGAGAGAGAGAGAGAGAGAGATCAAATAACATTGGCAGGCTTGCAACGGTAGAGATCTAAGAAGTCAAGGATGGTGAAGATGGCGAGGCTCTATTTCTTTGTCCACTGACACAGTGAATATTTGTGAATGTGATGTGGAGTGCGACTTGGGGGATGCACAGTGATTACTTGCTGAGTTAAAGAGCTAGATCATTCTTTTTTCCGTTTGTTCATTCGAAGCATGTTTGTCATTGTCTGTTAACACGTTTTCACAATCAACAATCTCCGGAACTTGGAGCTTGTAAGTTCCATCCTTGTCTAAAACCGAAATGTAATTGGAGATAGAAAATATTGATGTTACACGGTTTCTTCAAGGAATGGGTAGTCCGTGTATCCAGCCACTGGATCATGCGAGAAAAACGTGTTCCTGTCGTAGAGATTGAGCGGGGCATTGAGCTGGAACCGCCTTGGCAAGTCCGGGTTTGCCAGAAAGTGCCTGGCGTAGACAACCAAGTCGGCCAGCCCCGATTCAATTGCTGCGTTCCCAGAATCTCTGTCGAATCCCGCAGCTGCAAGGAACGCACCTTTGAATGCTCGCTTCACTGGCCACAACTCCGACTCTACCTCGCCAGAGAGCTTGATCTTTGGCTCCGCAACATACAAGATGTTGTACCTGTCATAGAGTGTGTCGAAACTTGGAAGAAGTCACGAACAAGCAAGCATAGCATACCTGTTGAGTGCCTCGGCCAGGAAAACAGCCAGCTTCATGGGATTGGAATCCGCAGAGTCGCTGAAGTTTGAAAACGGCGAGAAGCGGAAGCCAATGCGCTGGGAACCAATCTCCTTCGCCACGCCTTCAACCAGCTCCAGAGCAAATCTACAGCGGTTCTCGAAAGAGCCACCGTATCCGTCTGTTCTGTCGTTGATACCATCCTTAAGAAACTGGTCGATCAAGTAGCCGTGAGCTCCATGGAGCTCAACGCCGTCGAAGCCGGCCTCAATGGCGTTCCGAGCTGCGGTGCAAAAGTCCTGGATGACCAGCGGGATCTCACGAGTTTCTAGAGCCCGTGGAGTGGAGTACTCGAGTATGTCACCCGACGGTGAAGGACCAGGGGCACGCTTGCTCGAGCAGGATATAGGAGCCTGTCCCTTTGGCTGATAAGCTGCAGAACAAAAGCAATTTTGAGAGAGTGATCCAGCGTGTGATTCTCAAGAAAGCAGCTTACAAGTGTGGGACAATCTCCCGACGTGCCAGATTTGAAGAAAAAACACAGCACCCTTGTCATGAACGGCTTTCACAATCGGTTTCCAGGCCTCTACTTGTTCTTGCGTCCAGATTCCGGGTGTACAAGAGTACCTGTGTAAAAGACAACCGTACAGACGCTTGGATTAAAAAGAATCTCCAAACTCTCACCCCATGGATGTGTCTGAAACTCCAGTTGCTTCTGCTATGACAAGGCCTCCAGGAGTTGCGCGTTGCGAGTAGTAGACAGCAGCATGAGGTTGTGGAATGCTCCCGTAAGATCGACATCTTGTCATTGGTGCGAGCACAATTCTGGAACGAACCAAGTCAGTCGTACAAGAACTCCTTGAAATCCATACTGCAACCTATGATTTAACAGAAATGGCCCCAGCTGGAATGGAGTGAGAAGTGGGATCTTTTCGTCATTCTCCATCGCTCTCTGGAAGGACAAGTTAAAGAACAACACCAGAAAGTACACTTATCACTTACCAAAAGGTAACTTGCTGAGAGAGTATCAGATCCGATAACGTTTTACCATGCCTGTCAACCCTCCTTGAACAAGTCACCCCTCCATCCAGTACATTCCTGACAACAACGTTGAGAGAATGTATCCCTTCGACCAGATAAACAGAAACTTCAGCTTCTCCGGCCTGACCAACGAAGGCCGTCGCGAATACATTTTTCACCCATCTGGCCGTTACGACCTCTTGCAGTCGAGCTATGTCGTCGGTGCAATGCGGAATCAAGCTGAAGTTCAGTGTATTCCCCTTGTCACCAGTTCTGCCGTGAGCAATGTGATATAGAGGAATGCCAACACCTCTTGGAGCTGGAGCTGTCTTTGCAGATGGACTTGGCGTCGGTAAAACATCCATGCAAACCACGGAGTTTGATTGACAACACTCGAGCCTCCTCTGTGTGCCTGAAAACGCAGTTTTCCAGGACACGGCATCGCGGGAGACTAATTGCTTTTTCAGTGTTATTTCTCTCTTGATTCCTGAACTGCAAACGTATGTCTCGTCAGTAAAAACAAAAGACAATTATGAACGACCATACCGTATGCCACCTCCTCCAGCAGGTCCATTCGTGTAGAGCGCTCCAAACTCTCGGACAAGTGCAGCAGCCTCCTCTTCTGTACCAAATAATCCATCGACACGCAGCCGAGCTTCGTGACAGACTACTGGCGGACTGGGACTTGCGAACAGACTATCTTTACCAATGACGCACGAAAGAATTCTTTGCTGAATTCCAGGGAACGATTCCTCCAACCACGACCGAACCTGCAAAATACTAGTTGCTAAGGTGAGACGACAATCTTAAGCGACAAACCAGTTTATCGGATAGATTGGCACGCTCGTCGCAATATAAGCCACCGTACGAGATTTCTCCCCAACCTTTCCAGCCACAAAACTAGACAAACAACAAGTCAGGACAGTACCTTTGTGCTGCTAAACTTACAGATGGGATCAGGCGAAGTAGCAAGCTGGGAGAACAATGAGCCTCAGCGCCGCTTACAATTACTCTGTCTTTTGAGAGCTCCCTGAAATTGACCTTGCGGAGATCTAGAATCTGTTTCGCAAGGAACATAAGAAGCGTTAAATGAAAGGTGCAGTCTGTACCACATCAGGGGTGATATACGAAGAAGGATCCTCCACTTCATATATAAGCTGCTCAGAGCATGTTCTCTCACTTATTTCTCCCCCAGAGCCTTCGGCTTTGGCGACGACTACTTTTCCGTCCCAGGAAATGTCAGCGTATGGCAGCGAAACGTCAAGAAGTTCTGGAAACGGAAGACTTCGAAGCTTGTCACCTGCAATTTTTTTTATTTGAGTTAACAGTTTCGGAAGAGCTGGGACAGAAAGCACAACCTGGATGCACGTAGTACCCTCCTGTCAGCTGGCATCCGCATTCCAGGAGATGAGCAGCGACCGCACCTTGAGCAAGCTCTTTGTAGCTGTTCCAGTTCCAGCCAAGCTCGAAAATCTAGAAAGCATTCCTTGGAGATGTCTTTGCAAGAACTAGCTTCTTACCATCGGTCCCAGGAAAAGCGCAACATCGGCCACACGACTGGTGATGATAACATGAGGTCGACATTGCTGTAATACTTGCACGATTGGAGCTGCTCCAAGGTAAGTGCTAGAACCCTGTCGTCAACTCGTTAGATCGGATAAACATCGAGCCATATCAATCACTTACATCAGAAGGAAGCGGATACTCGTAGGCCACAGCCACAGAGATATGAATCCCAAGTTTTGAAGAGAGCTTGAGAACCTCGTCTTGTGCTCCCAAAGGATCCACTGAAAAGACAAAGTTCCTTAAACATCTCTTTTAAAAAGCGGGAGAGACCTCCGCCCATGTTTGTGACGATGCAAACTCCTTTCTCCACTGCTACTGGAAGAAGAGAAGTCATCCATTCCGAGACTAGAATTTTTTTCTGGAAACCATCAGCCTTGCTAGAAGATGGAAGAACCAAGACAAGAAACATAAAAAGACAAGCTCTTACTTCGAGGATCATAGCCTTGGCCACCGGCGGCTTTAGCTTCCACACGCTCCACAAAGGTCCGCTCGGCGAGACACTCTAGAACCAAGTACTGCAAGCTTGGCACCCGATGGAGGAGCTTCAATGCCGCGCGGGGCCTGTCGCCAGCAAAGCCGGCGCCACATCCAATCCTCACAACATCTTTCTGCCGCAAAGGATTCTCCCTCTGAAAGAAAGAGGATCGAACACACGATTCGAGCTACTTGCTACTCACCAGCGTCACTGTGCTCTCGGACGATGGATCGGCGTGGAGCTCAAACACGCGATCGTTGCCAGTGGCCATAGGACCTCCCTCCCGCCCTAAGATATAAATCTAATTAATGTGGAAGTTTCCAAATACAAGTTTGCTTTAACAGCATATTTTCTAAGCAAAAGGCCATTGTTTTCCATATTTTATTCGAATATATAGAATGGCCATGAAGTATATATGATAAAGTTTGTAAATATATCCAAGAAAAAACTAAGATAACCAATATTCCTCTCATCAAATTATGTAGAACAATTTACAATTTGAATGAGATAACTAGAGTTACTTTTTAGCTATTTAGTTTACTTTGACAAGCTTAACTATAATAGAACACTTTTTCCCTAAATTTCTAAATATAACTGGTGAATATTCAAGTATCAATAACTATTAATTACACCCCTTTTTTTAATCAATTAAAAATTTTAGGATATTTGTTTTTTGAATAATATTGGGCTGGGTGACTTCTCGGGAAGTCTAAACTTAAGAACTTATAAATTTATTACTTTTGTTAATATTTTGTTTTCAAGAATTTCCTTTACAATCTATTTGATTTTCATCTTTTCTTTATTTTATTAAAGGCTATAATGACAATAGGTGGTTTAAGTCCAAGGATATTTAGGTTTTTAGTTTTCTAATCAAAACCTTTAATTATGAATATGAAGTAAAAATCTTCTCTCCTCTAATATATATTTCAAGTTGAAATATCACTTTTGTTTCATTAAAGGCTATAATTCACAATAATGTGGGTGAGGTGGTTTAAGTCCAAGGATATTTAAGTTTTTAGTTCTCTAGTCAAAACCTTTAACTATGAATGTGAATCAAAAATCTTCTCTCCTCCTCTAATATGTAATTCAAGTTGAAATATCACTCTTAGGCCATCCCTGTTCATCATTAGTGATAATTATAGTAGTCTATAATGCTTTCTAGTTGTCTTGCTTGTCAATTTCCCTAAATCTTACAAGTTCATCATTAGTGATAATTATAGTAGTTTACAATGCTTTCTAGTTTTTTTGCTTATCAATTTATATGTGCCTATTTTCTTATAGATCTTTGAGCATTTCTTATAAACTCTTGAATTTAAATTTTCTGAGAGGTCATCTAGCCTAAACCTAAAGACACTTAGCCTTAAGTATCCCAAAATTTTTAATTAATTGGAAAAAGGGGTATATTTTTATTCATGGGCCTTTTCCCTTTATATTTAAACCCCATAAATCATCTCTTAAATCATTCTTTCTTTTTTTTTACACTTCCATCCTCATATAATGGCAACATATTTTTAAAATTATACCACTTGTTAATAGTTTTAGGTCTAAATGTAATTAGAGGATGAAGACCAAACAAAACATCCACAACTAGTGTAAATAAAGACCATACACATCCATTGTAGTGATATATATCCCCATGAAGAACTTCTATATAAAAAATATCATGAAATGAGCATTTTAATTGTTAATATTCATGGTTCATTATGATAGGCATTTTAAATATGTCAATAACACATCTAATTAAGATCAAGAGACATTTTTTAAAGCTCTACAATCAATCATCTAGTTTATGACACCATTATTATTGGATTCAATTGTTAATTTTGCAAGAATATTTGGTTGTATCATACCAGTTGCAAGGCAAAAATATCCTCACAATAGCCTATGTGGCAAAGTTATAATGCATGTTAGCACACATGCCCATCTAATGTAAGAAGTGATATAGGGGAGTTTTGTGAATCAATTTAAAAAAGCAAAAACTACAAGGAACTCAACTATAGCACCAAAATATATTCAAAAGATTATGTTGAAGAATTTTATTGTTGGGCTACTAAAAGAATCTATACTAGCTTATGGGAGATATTATGTGGTCTGCAACCTAATACAAGCTTAAAGAGGTATATTTGGTAATTTTAAGAAATATCTTCCTCATTTTTTGCTTTATATAAGATTGTGCAATTCTAAAAAGGGGAAAAGTGCATCCTTAAACTAAAATAGACCTAATCATTTAATAATACATAGTTACATAATGTTGAATATTAAGGTATCTTTGACCTTAATTAGTTTAATTACTATATCCTTATAATTTTATAGTAGTAATTTATTTCCAAACTAAGTTGTTAATGAAAATGAGGACCCTTTGGTCATAAGATGTCTATGATAAACTTGGATCTTGTCTCATATTAAATATGATTGGCTCAAGTGACTTAGTAAATTCTTAGATATATTGCATTGGGTATGAATCTTTACATATTTGTCAAATCTAATGCAAACTATAGAGTAGCTTTCACAGAAAAGGAAAATAATTAGGAATAGAGCCATTTGTTAAAATATTCATAAATGGATGAAAAAAAAAGTGATTCTAACTACCTGAATAATGACATTTGCCATTGAAAAGGCACACTACAAAGCACATGCCTTGGGCTTCATCCACTTTACATATTGGTTTTCCTTTGGTTGTGAAGATGGTGGGATGGACTTTGGAGCTACAATCTTGACATTATTCTATTCTAAGAACCCACTTCTTGACTGAGCTAGCTCAAGTGTCAGATGAAGAAAGCACATCCTAATAAGTTAAATCTCTACAATATTTTTCTTAATAAGATATATTTTGCAAATACAAAATTTAGATCTAATCAATTTACCTTTGAGCAATATGGTAGCTCATATACAATCTTTACCATTTTAAAAAACATTTTGTGATAGTCTTTCAAAGTGACATTGCAATGTATTATACTATTATAACTCTTGTTGCCATTGCTTCCACTAAATGCCACAAAACGTATAATCTTGAAAGTCACCACATTACAATTTTTTTAGGTGAGGTAGGTATTTTTCTCTACATGATTTGTTGTGGTCTCAATCATTGCATTTGTCTCTAGAATCATCCCTCTCTTATGTATGGTTTGGCAATGGGATTACTAACGTGGCTCCTCACTCTTGAACTACTGTGAGAAAAATTGCAAAAGTTAAAACTACCAACACTTAGGATGTTTTTCCCAGAGTGCAAAAGGTAATTGATAAAAAGAATCTAGTTTCAAATTTAATATTATGAACCTAACATGGATTGAAAATATTTGGAAAGAAGTCAATGTTTTTTATATATTTAAAGTGTGCCATTCTGAAACACTCAGCAAAAACAAGTTCAACTCTTTAACTTGGGAGATGAAGAGTGGTCCACCCTCTGTTTTACTGTTTTTTCCAATACTAGTGTATGGAATCAAATTCAAAAACAGTCAGCTACAAGAGGATGGTCATCGATGCCAGGTTTTGCCTTAAATCACAGAGGAAGCCGGCCTTGGAGGTGGTGCCACTGATGTCCATGTCACCCATGAGCAACCCCAGCACTCTATACATCACAAGGACGCATTCGTGGAGTTGTTCGTCCCAAATCTCACTAACACAGTCCCGTTTCGATCATACACGCCCAGCGTCACCGTCTCCTCGAGAACAAGATCGCACTCCCGTCCACTCCCCTTCGTTCTCGCCTGCCACAAGACCTCGTTGCTCGAACTCTCGCTTAAACACCGCATTGCAATTTTCTCCCATCTCCAGAACGTACTCGGGCCTTCTCACTGGCAGCCGGGGTACTGAAGCTCAATCGCATCCTCTCGTAGCCTGGGGAGGGATTGTTGTAATGAGGGCTAAGAACCTGGCGTAGAGCTCGTTGCTGGCGGCATCAGTGAGGGTGTGATCGTCGTCTTGGGTGTGCATGAGAAGCTTAGGAAGTTTGCTCCAAGGATCACAGGAATAGCGTAATCATGACAATAGCTGATCTGATCGATCAGCCCCCCTCCCCCGTTTGCCCCAATTGCTGTAGCCAGAGGGAGCACCTGGCTCGCAAATTCCTCCGGATTCAAGCTGCTGGTTGCACTTGATCAGCTCCAAGAGTGCTTGCTGCTAGCGAATATAATCGGGGACACAAGGGGGATGCAAACGCATTTGAAGTTCAAAAGCTCAATATGCTTCTTTCTGGCACACGAAGTTTCCTCACAGTCTTGTCCGACTCGGAAATAAAGATAGCACGAAATGTGTGCCTCGTACTCCTCGCAACTATAGTCAACTATGAGTTGCGTGCCTCAGACTCTTCGCCCGGACGAGAGCGGCCGGAGCATTCCATCTGTGCATGGTTTTTTTACGGTCTCGATCAGTGATGCGGTCACTATTTGGCCAACGCGATTCCAACCCATGGCAAGCTAGTCTTAGACGGATCTTGACTTTTACCAATGGCAAGTGGGAGGTTCTTAAATTCTCTTCAAAGCTTGGGATTCATATTTCTGTGGCTGTAGCCTACAAGTATCCACTTCCTTCTGATGCAAGTGATTGATATGGCTCGATTTTTATCCGATGTACCTACAGCAAGGTCGGCCTTGGAGCACCTCCTTGGAGGTGTTGCTCTTTAACTTGTCCTTGCAGCAATGGAGAATGACGAAGAGATCCCACTTCTCACTCCATTCCAGCTGGGGCCATTTCTGTTAAATCATAGGTTGCGGTATGGATTTCAAGGAGTTCTTGTACGACTGACTTGGTTCGTTCCAGAATTGTGCTCGCACCAATGACAAGATGTCGATCTTACGGGAGCATTCCACAACCTCATGCTGCTGTCTACTACTCGCAACGCGCAACTCCTGGAGGCCTTGTCATAGCAGAAGCAACTGGAGTTTCAGACACGTCCATGGGGTGAGAGTTTGGAGATTCTTTCTAATCCAACGTCTGTACGGTTGTCTTTTACACAGGTACCCTTGTACACCCGGAATCTGGACGCAAGAACAAGTAGAGGCCTGGAAACCGATTGTGAAAGCCGTTCATGACAAGGGTGCTGTGTTTTTTCTTCAAATCTGGCACGTCGGGAGATTGTCCCACACTTGTAAGCTGCTTGCTTGAGAATCACACGCTGGATCACTCTTTCAACATTGCTTTTGTTCTGCAGCTTATCAGCCAAAGGGACAGGCTCCTATATCCTGCTCGAGCAAGCGTGCCCCTGGTCCTTCACCGTCGGGTGACATACTCGAGTACTCCACCCCACGGGCTCTAGAAACTCGTGAGATCCCGCTGCTCATC